CTCAGTATCTTAATTTATTTATCTGCTGTAGGAATAATAATATAACCAATTAGGATAAAAGTCAAGGTAAAGGGGCCAGCAGATGGCATAGTGGTTACATTGCTGAACTCCCACTTGAACCATGGTCAACCATGGTTCAAGTCCCAGACCTGGTGGCTTAAAAATCATGCTGGGTGGGTGTGCACGCATACCCAAGATCCCAGGAGGAGAATGGAGAAAAAGGGATTATGGGTATAGCCATCACCCCTTGGGGGTGACTTCTCACTTTCCCTCTTACTGTTTCTGTCTTTCTCTCTCCAGTGAGCACACATGCCCTATGACAAAAACCTCTAAAAAAAAAAAAAGATTAAAATGAAATAGAATAAAAGACTATTAAAGACTCAATAATAATGTAGTTTAAAAAGAAGTTTATTTTTCTCTCACATTATAGTTGAAGGAGTGTGTCTCATTTAGCTGGGCATAATAGTTTCATACAAACCAGATGGACCGTGGCTCTGCCTTTTTAAACACATAGCTTCCAAATGGTTGAGTCCCCCCAATAACATAAGTCTAGAGATAGAGATGTCCCCTTAAGAAAGTGGAATGAGGGACCAGCAGTTAGCGTAATGGCTATGTCGCTGGACTTCCACGTAGTCAACCGCGGTTCGAGTCCTGGACCCAGTGGCTTAAACTCACACCGGGCGCATGTGTGTGCATGCCCAAGATCCCAAGAGGAGAATGGAGGAGAAGGGATTGTGGCATGGCCATCCCCCCTGGGGGGTGATTTCTCGCTTTCTATTTCTCTGTCTCTCTCTGTCTACTAAAAAAAAAACCTTTAAAAAAAAAAAAAAAAAGAAAGAAAGAAAGAAAGTGGAATGGGGCCGGAAAGTGGTTTGGAGGTTAAGGCACTGGATTTCACATGGCCATGGTTCGAGTCCCAGACCTGGTGGCTTGAAAATCATGCCGGGCACTTGTGCATGCATGCCCAAGTGGAGACTGGAGAAGGGATTGTGGCATGGTCATTCCCCAGGGGGTAATTTCTCTTTCTCTCTCTGTCTCTCTCTGGTGAGCATACATGCTCTATAGGAAAAACAAAAACAAACAATCAAATAAAAAGTAGAATGGGAGTTCTATTCTTTTTATTTTTGGAGAGTTTTTTTTGCTATAGGGCGGTGTGCTTGCCAGACAGACAGAGACAGAGAGACAGAAAGCGAGAAATCACCCCCTGGGGGGATAGCCACACCGCAATCCCTTCTCCTCCATTCTCCTCTCGGGATCTTGGTCACACGTGCACACGCGCCGATGTGAGTTTTAAGCCACCGGGTCCGGGATGCGAACCACGGTGGACCACGTGGGAGTCCAGCGACATAGCCATTAGGCTAACTGCTGGTCCCCCGGGAGTTCTATTCTTTTTCCACTGGAAGGAGTGCAAACATTACTATTCATAGTAATTTCTTCCCCCTGATTCTTGGCGTATCTTGCTGTAGTTTTAACAAGAGTGACCTTCTATTAACTACATACTCAATTTTTCCTTAAGAGAAAAAAATCTTATGTCTAAGCTTTAAAACCAGTTTAATAAACTTGTATCTATCCCACAAATCAGAAAACAGAGGCCAGGTAACTTCAAAGTTCATTCATTTTACATTTAACCAAAGAATCTCTCCTGCTTAAATATTAAAATGATAAAAATATTAAAAATAAAAAGCTGAAGAATAGCCACAACTTAAGAACAGAAATAATCAAAGAGAAATAAACAGGAGACCAACCAGGAAGCCAAGTGGAACAAACATTAGGAGAGAGGTAGGTATTGGAGCTCTAGGGTAGCTCTGCCCCTTGCCACCTGCCATTCCCCTCTCTGGGCTTCAGCTGTCGAACGGAGGTGTTGGACTAAATAACCCTCTAAGCTCTTTCTAGCTCTGACATTTTGTAATTCTATTTGGAAAATAGTGAAGCAAAAAAAATGTAAATGTGGGGGGGGGTGGGAAAAAGCGCAATTTTAAAATTTGCTCTAATGAAGGAAATTGCAAAAGCAGAGGTGACCCACACAAGGAAATCAGTTGAGCTTCCTCTTGAGACTCAGAAGACTGGCTGGACTTGCTGGGTGAGACACACCTGCTCCTCACATTCCTTCCAAGGGCAGTCCCAGGGCTAAGCTCAGAGCGGTGAGGAGGACTTTTCTGGGGGAGAAATCCTGGAGGTGGATGCTAAATCCCTAAAAATAGCTGGTTCTGACCTGCTAGGTACAGGGGATAGCAACTTGGGCTATAAGTCAGAAAGGTTTTAAGACCTGGCTTTGAGACTATGGAGGATATATGTTTATGAGTTTACCCAACTTCTTTGGACTTGTTTTCTGACATGTGACATGGATATAATCCAGAGGGGGAAAATTTTAAAAGAATTACTTATTTAATTTTATTTATTCATCCATATAATTTGACCAGAGAGAGAGAGAATGAGAGAGAGAGGGAAAGTGAGAAAGCAAGCATCAGGTCCAGGACTCCAACCACGGTTGGCCATGTGAGAGTGTCTAGCACCTTAACCACTATGCCACCTGCTAGCCCCCAGAGGAAAAAAAAAAAAATTGAATATAGTGAACTTCACTAAGCCAGATTATTTTAGGCACTAATATCAATTACCTCATTGAATCTTCCTAATAGTGAGTAATAAAGAATAATATTTAACATACAAAATACAAGGGTTAATAATTTTCCTGAAGCCATTCAGGTTTGTCAATACCTGGATCATTTTCCAGGAAGTCCGAGTCTCAAAAACTGTATGTATGAAAGTACTTTGCAAATTGGCAAATTGTAAGTGCTACAAAGTGTAAAGGGCATGGTCCCAAATTAATGGAGAAGCAAATATTATCCAGAAGTGACATTCTGATGGGAGGAGTAAATCAGTTGAGCTTCCTCTTGAGACTCAGAAGACTGGCTGGACTTGCTGGGTGAGACACACCTGCTCCTCACATTCCTTCCAAGGGCAGTCCCAGGGCTAAGCTCAGAGCGGTGAGGAGGACTTTTCTGGGGGAGAAATCCTGGAGGTGGATGCTAAATCCCTAAAAATAGCTGGTTCTGACCTGCTAGGTACAGGGGATAGCAACTTGGGCTATAAGTCAGAAAGGTTTTAAGACCTGGCTTTGAGACTATGGAGGATATATGTTTATGAGTTTACCCAACTTCTTTGGACTTGTTTTCTGACATGTGACATGGATATAATCCAGAGGGGGAAAATTTTAAAAGAATTACTTATTTAATTTTATTTATTCATCCATATAATTTGACCAGAGAGAGAGAGAATGAGAGAGAGAGGGAAAGTGAGAAAGCAAGCATCAGGTCCAGGACTCCAACCACGGTTGGCCATGTGAGAGTGTCTAGCACCTTAACCACTATGCCACCTGCTAGCCCCCAGAGGAAAAAAAAAAAAATTGAATATAGTGAACTTCACTAAGCCAGATTATTTTAGGCACTAATATCAATTACCTCATTGAATCTTCCTAATAGTGAGTAATAAAGAATAATATTTAACATACAAAATACAAGGGTTAATAATTTTCCTGAAGCCATTCAGGTTTGTCAATACCTGGATCATTTTCCAGGAAGTCCGAGTCTCAAAAACTGTATGTATGAAAGTACTTTGCAAATTGGCAAATTGTAAGTGCTACAAAGTGTAAAGGGCATGGTCCCAAATTAATGGAGAAGCAAATATTATCCAGAAGTGACATTCTGATGGGAGGAGTGGACTTTTTCAGTGAATCTAATTTGTTCAGTTACCCACTTGGCTCCAATCTGTTTATTTTCTAGGCAGTCAAGTGCTAACTTTCTGAAGTGACTCTTGAAACAATGACGCTTTCTTTCTAGTTCCCATTGTGCCACAGAGAAACATTAATCTTGAGAAATCGCTTGGTGTTTTTGTCTGTGAAATGGAGGGTTAGGTTGGAGGCGTCTGCCAAGGTCCCTTTCCCCAAGGCACTTCAATGACTCAGAGAAGTGGAAAGTATCCAGGGAGCCCAAGAGAGGAGTCTCATTCTCATTGTTGCACTTGTGCCATCCTTCCCACTGCAGGGGTGCCAGCCCACATCTGCCCTGTCACGTCAAATGGGTAAGTCCCATTTGAGTCTGAAAGATGGGTTGGCCCCGGAAGGGAATGGGTCCCTTCAGAAGAGTGGCTACGTACTTAGAGATCTCTGGCAATTCGAAATTATGCACTCTATCAGCTCATGCCAGCCATAACCCCAAGCTATAAAGACTGGGGACAGGGTCTGAGAGCTATCTGTCGGGGCCCTATGCCCCATTCTTACTACTTTTTTGGTCTTAAGGGAGTGGGCATAGATGGAAGAATTGGGGTGAGAGGAGAGGCATGTGTTGGATTCCCCAGGAAGTAACTCAAGCCCTGGGTCTAACTTATTTATTATTGTATACTTGATATGCCAACCACTCCCTCCTTTGTACATACCTCTGACTGCGTCAATTTCCTAGCAACGCAGCAACTTATTTACCTGTAGCCTGCCCGACAGCTACACACATGGCTTTGCATACATGACTGTGAATGAGCAAAAAAGGAGAAGATAGGCGTGAAGGAGACAAGTGACTGGTTTTCACGACTGACAGGGAATGTTAAGTCTCAAAGCACATTACTAGTAAACCCTTAAAACAACCTGTGCACACACAGCCAGAGCACAGGGACCACTGCACACTGGCTGTAAACATGACAAAGTCTTTTAACCCTCTCAGGACATTTTGCGGTTAAGTACTTTGCCCAAGGGCTAAATGGGAATAATACAACCTACTTCCTGGTAGGGCTGAGATTCAAAGGAGACACAGGAGGTGAGAAGCCTTGTTCAGAGATACCTACTCAGATTTGGAAAGAACAGCATTTATAATAGTCAGTTAGGCTATTGCAGGAAACACCAGAGTGGCAATACAAAATGCTTGCTTCTGCAAAAGAATGTTAGAATTTGACATAAAAAAAAAAAAAACAAAATCCGAGGTGTGGGAAGTTACACAGAGGAGACCAACATGATATAAATCCAAAAGGGGTTTTCACAAACTCCAGTTTTTGGTTTGTGCCTTTCCAATATTTTATTAAACTTGTGTTTTTTTTAAAAAAAAAAATCACAGCAGCATTATCAAAGACAACATATGTACAAACATTTTACAAAAGAAAACAGTACTAACATCAGCTGTAATAAGGGAGAGCTGAACAGATGCTAAGTTTCTGGGGCAGAGTTTGCCCCCAAACAAAGACATCTAAAAGGTGTTCAAGCTGCTAAAACAGGCTTCTTCCCGGTGACAAGGCTATGTGGTCAGTAACACAAACAGCAGTACATGAGGATGCCGTTAGGCCCAGTTAGCAAACTCCTCATCAGGAAGGCCATGATATAAAGTGGAACTCATCAAATAACTTAAACCCAAGATAATAAAAGCCTTGTTTCCCCATTAGGCCCAATTAGCAAACTCCTCATCAGGAAGGCCATGATATAAAGTGGAACTCATCAAATAACTTAAACCCAAGATAATAAAAGCCTTGTTTCCCATCTAAATTCATTTAAGCCTCACAAGTCCATTCCACCCTTCAGGAACCTGGCTGGACTGACACTTGTGTCTTACAAAGCCAGGCCAGGCCATGCTTCTCTGAATGCTACTCAGGTTTCTTGTAGTTGGACTGAAAGGGAAAGAATTTCAGAAACACTTTCTTCATGACAGAAGTTAGAAAGTGACCCTGAGACCAGGATCTATTAAACTCGGTGTGTGTGGAGAGGGGAGAGGAGCGGATTTGGAAGGAGAAACGTCTCCTCTGGGCCAAGAATCAGGAAGCATGACTCACTTGGGTCAGGCCATGCTGGAATCCGGTACCCCACTTGGTCCTTCTCCTACCGGGGACCTATAAACTGGGTTCCTTTCTCAACTCCCCCAGTTCTTTGACCTCCACCTTCCTGTACTTCCCCGACCTCCTCCGGTTGGTGATCACGAGCACAGCCACGCCTGCAACCAGTGCCACCACGACCACCACGATGACGGCGATGAGGCCGGCGGTGAGGCGCTTCATAGAGAACTGGGGGGGCTTCTCGTCCAGGTAGTAGATGAGGGTCCGCTCCACCTGCAGAGACTCGCCGCGCACGCGCATGTCCAGGCTGTTACGGCCAGAGAACAGCGACTCGCCCTTGACGTCCCTCTCGAAGTAGTAGGCAGCGTCGGCGATGTCCACGTCGCCGGGAGCCTTCTGCGACGCGTTCTGCCGCAGCTCGATCTGGATGATGGGCTGCTCATAGTGCACGGCCGACACGAACCTGGGATGCAGCAGGTAGCGCTCGTGGAAGAGCCGCCGCAGTTCGGCGTCCAAGTCCGAGTGGTTGAAGGGGTGCGCGGCCGGGCGGTGGCGCAGGTCGATGAGGATGTGGTGGGTCCGCACCAGCTCGTCGCAGCGCAGGCTCTGGTCGCCCTTCTCCGTGCGGCGCACGCCCACCGAGTTCACGCACCAGCACACCGACGTCTGGTTGCACTGGCGCGCCTTGAAGCGGCCCTCGTGGTCGCAGTCGGGGTCGTAGAGGCCGTCGTTGTCCACGAGCGCGTGCTCGCTCGGCCGAACCAGCGCGCGGCCCGACTTGGGGGCGCTCATGCGTGCCTTGAGCAGCAAGCACTTGGAGGTCAGCGTGGAGCAGTCGACCGCCACGCCGGAGCCGATCGCGCCAGATACTTTTGACAGTAGTGAGAAAATTCTTTTTCTTCAAGGGAAAGGTTTTTTTAAACTTAAATTATAAATTCAAAGGGCCAATTTTAGTTCTTTCATGGTAATAGCTTGAATGACATCATCTTCAGATATTTTTTCCTACTGGTCTGGTCCAGGGCAACCTGGAAGATGGCCGGCTCGGGGGCTCGGCGGAGCTCAGGTCCGGCGTCTGGGACAGGCTTAGGGCGTCTGCCGCTGGGCGCTCCCTCCCGCACTTATACTCCGCCAGACCTGCCCGGCTGGTTCCGCTGCCGACTCACCCGCTGGTATTTGGTGACACATCCCGCCCCCCTCCCGTCCCACTGAAGGCCCAGCCGGCCCTGCGCCGCCCGGCCAGCGATAGGATCAGGGGAGGCCCGCCTCCTCCCAGCCGAAAGCCGACCGAGGGAAACCGATACTCACCTGGAGGCCGCGGGGGACTGGTCCCGGCCGGCCTGGCCCCACCCCGGGAGGGCGCGCTCTCAGCGCCGCCTCTGGCTTGGGACCTCTGGGGTCCGCCGCACTCCAAGGGGATTCTCTCTCTGGCATTTCATCGAAAAGTGTGACTTTTGCGCTCCTCCTCTCCACTCCCCTCGACTTCTTCTCTAGGCCTTTCCCAGCCCTTTTCCCTCCCTGAAGTTTTTACTCCCTTTCCCCGTTCTCATCAGCGCACACCTGTGTGTACTTTACAGTTGAGGAACATGATCTCATCCTCACGCCAGTCTCATTTACAGTCACGCAAACATCAGTTTTTTCAGGATCCTGGGAGGGTTTTTAGGTACCCTGCCTGGTGGTTGTTGAGACCTTAAATAAATATGTGTGGGAGCAAAGAAAAAAAAAAAAAAGTGGTGCGGAATCCGGAGGAAGGAGACACATCCCAGGTGCTCTGGGGTCCAATGCACAAAAAGTTCTGTTAGACAGTGTTTCCCTCTGCACCCCCTCCCCCATATTTATGCACATATTCCTACAGGGAGATGAAAAGGAACACATCTGGAAAGAACCAGCAAGACTACAGGGGTTCGTCATACAGTTTGATTCTAAAGAGCAAACGATTGCTTACTTTTTTCTGAACCACTGCAAATAATTGAAAGAATGGGGCCTGTGAGAAAGGGCTTGTTTGCCATGCGTGGCTCCTTGCATGGGACAGAGGGATGGCAGTCTCTTTTCAAATCAGTGAGAAAGTTCAGGATTTCAAAGCTCTGGTAAAATTAACAATAATTAGTAAGCTATAATTATTCCCAGGTCCTCCATCAAAGCACATTTTATATACTCAGCATTTACTGTACACCATTAGTGGTACAAGCTGTTGTTTAGCACATGAAAGCTGTCCGTGTGTCTGCCCCATAATTTTCAAGCAATTCCCAAGGCAGGCAGACAGAAATATTCTATTCTGTTTTTACAGGTAAAAGGAAGTGGAGGCATGTGAAGGATAATCTTACTCACAAACATCCAGAGTTGTGGTATACTTCTCTGTCCTCCAACCCACCGTCTGTTCAGGTCTTCCTCAGACTAATAGCCGAGGTAGGTTTCAGTTCCTTTTTCCCCCGTCTCCAACTCAGACCGCCCTGGCACAGTTAGAGAAAGAAGGCTTTCTAAATCACAAATCTGTGCCCATTACTCTCTAAGAACCTTTTTTTTAAAAAAAAAAATTATTTCATTTAATTTTATTTATTTCCTTCAACTCGACTAGAGAGGGACAGAATGAGAGAGAAAGTGACAGAGAAAGCTGCCAGGTTCGGGACTCGAACCACTTTTGGCCATGTGGGAGTCCATCGTCCTTAACACCACACCACCTGCTGGTCCCAGAACCTTTTAAGCCTGGAGAAAATTAAAGTACCCACTTCACCAGGTAGGCATGAGAATTAATGTAAATAAACTGCTTAAAAGAGTGTCCTAACAGTATCTGCACATAGTAAGCGACGGATCGGTGTTAGCCACTGTCAGCCACAGCAGCTGCTGCTCCTGCCAAACTTTTCAGCCTTCTTCATGTTTTCCGGCCTTTGTAAAGTCACATACCCAGAGCGTCCCTTGTCTATTTAGTACGTACTTGGGTTTTCCTATTCAGCTCGTGGGTCGCGTCCAGAAAGCCTTCCCTGACGAGGTCCTTCCTACTGTACTCTAGGATATGTCTCTTCTCCATGCTTAACTAATTCTGTATGTACTGGGATGGAGGCTTTTGTCTCATCTGTAAAATGAGTATCAAAGAATCTTTCTCTTTTATGGGTTATTCTGAAATTCAAATCTAAACGGATGAGATAAAAGATGTGAAAGCTTGGCAAATTCTAAGACTGTAAAATTATTAGATTGCACTTTTACTCTTAATATATCTAACTTATCTTCCCACTTTTCCAGCTATTGACTAGGTAGCAATAGTCCTCTCTAACTGGGATAACCACCTGCTTGTCATTCCACTGTGTCCCCGGATGGGAGTTGGAAGGCTGATGGTGGGGGGTTCTCAAGGCTGGAGGAGTGTATGATGGTGCTGTTAACTACTTAGCTAGAACATTCCCATGTGGTGCATTACTGGGGCTAGTGCTCTTAGGACTCCAAACCTCTACCTTTTCCAATTAAGTTAGGTAATGAGAGGACAGTAGTAGAAGAAACCCAGCCTTGATATCCCCCGTGGAAGATGGACAAGTCAAAGATGACGTCCCCCACTTTCTAAAATGGTGTGGTTCTGCCAGACTTTCTCCAACAGGCACAAAACACCATGAAGAGTTTCGTTTCATAAACTACAGCCTCAGCACTGTCTCTCCCTCCTCCCTTGTCTGTTTCCTGCCTAGTTCCACAAAATATCACATATTTGCTTTACCTCTTGGTATTTTATTTTAGATATTTAGCAAAAGCAGTCTATCAACTGAGGTTTGTCAAATGTTTATAAGGGTCAGGAATGAAATCTGAGCAGTAGATCCCCAACACCAGCATGTATTAGGCACTAAGGAATGTTTGCTGGGTTAATTAACATTGATTTGGGATCAGAATGTTACAGTACCAATATGATCTCCTACAAGTGCTTGTGTTGACCACTTCAATACTTTTCTCCTGGTTTAAGACTAACTACCTACCCCAGCCAAAAATCTCAATTCCTACCCTAACTGACCCTCAAAGCACCCAATTTCAAGGAAAACTGAGTAATAATGAATGCCAAGTGTTACCTTGGCTTTTATGCATGATCACAAACTTTTATCAGCTTTATGCTGTAGGGAAGAGGGATGTGGTTCAGCCAGGGCTTCTATAGGCAAGCTATATCATGTTGTTGAAAGAAATGGGCTTTTGGTCCAATGAGGCTTAAGTTCAAATTCTGGCTTCAGACCATTCACTCACTGTGTGGTTTTGAGCAAATTATTTTACTACTCTTTCAGTGTCCTTAATTGTAAAATGGAGGAAATAATGTCTACATTATCCCAATACCTGTGAAAAGGATGATTTTCCACCTTGCTATTAAGAGCACACCTTTCCCCATTGAACTTCATACTTCAGCTATTTTTGTGCTTTAAAAAATTATTTTCTTGGGACCAGCAGGTGGCATGGTGGTTGAGGCACTGGATTCCCACATGGCCGACCATGGTTCAAGTCCTGAACCTGGTGATTTGCTTTCTCACTCTCCTTTTCTCTCTGTCTGTTTCTCTATGGTCAAAAGAGAAGAATAATGATAATAAATAAAATTACAAATAAATAAATCTTAAAAAAATTATTTTCTTTTATTCATGATAGAGTATTTACATGTGTGCACATGTGCATGTGCACATATGAGCGTGAGAGAGAGATGAACAACCTCCACAGAGTCTGGTCATACCATAATCCCCTTCCCCTAGTCCTTCAGCCCATCGGATCCTAGACACAATTCCTGGTCACTAACACAGGAGCCTGGTGTGTTTCAGGTTGCCTGGGCTGGGGATTCAAACTGTGGTAACCATATGGGATACAGCTTCCCTTGAATAGCACATTATTGCTGCACCATGGAGACAGCCCATATTTTCATGTTATGTTTTATAAACTGTTGGTGATTATCTGATTTTCCTTGATACAAGACCAATACCAACATGTGACTCTTACATTAAAGGGTATGCTGTATAAAAACAAAACACAATAATAAAACTATGTTTGACTAATAAAATAACCAACATTTACTATACAGCATTATTTTAATGATTCAAGATAAAGAATAGAATACCCAACGTAGTGTTTGGCATGTACTAAATAGAATCATCTTAGCCATCATTATCAGCTGTCTCAGGTAATGCTTTCATTAAAGGGTTCTGCACAAAGCCTGTGATTATGTAGATTGCTGAAGATCAGTCTAAGGAGTTGATCTTTGGACCTGGGAGGAGTGATACTGAAGAGCTCTCACCC